TTGTACATGTACATGTACATTCACTTAAACACATTAATCACTGTTAATGACATTAACTTTTACATGTACATGTACATGTACATGTACATGTACATGTATGCTTATAAATGTAGATATTATATACCTAAGAAATAGACTTCTAATTCTACTGCGGCTCCTTTAAGATCTTCAGGTAGTATTGACTCAATTAATTGTCTGGCATTCTAAGAAAAAAGAAATGAAAGAATGTATATCATAGTTTACTAGTACATAAAGTGTACTATACAGTATTAAAGAACTGTTCTTTAGCTACACAGGGTTTCCCACAAAGCATGCTAAGTGAGCTAAACAGCATGAGCTTCATGAGCTGACAAGCACTACAATACAGTACATGGCTTTTGGAGCAACTTTAAAAATTCATAAAAAATCCAAATTTGATCGTAATCAGCTCAAAGTTGATACACAACATAAGAACATGTATATGCATCAGAGAAAATTATAAAAATGAAGAATTCTCTCCTAGTCAATTTTGGCAAAGTTTGGCCAAAAACCCTGTACTATAGTACAGGAACTTCGGCCCAATTTTTGAGTAACTTTAAAAATTCGTAGAAAAATCAAAACTTGATCGGAATCAGCTCAAATTTGATACACAACATAAGAACATGTATATGCATCAGATAAAATTATAAAAATTTAGAATTCTCTCCTAGTCATTTTTGTCAAACTACCCTGTACTACATTACAGGACCTTTGGCCCAATTTTTGAGCAACTTGACAATCCACTAAAAAGAAGCTCCATTGGCACTAAAAGCCAAAATCCCTTGGGAAACCCTAACATACACTACTTGTACATGTAACTGGTAATTTTTGAAAATTGCTAAACTTTTAGAGATTGGTGGGTTTCAATTTGGCAAATTTTTGGCCACGGGCCATTGAGCATGAGTATAATCATTCAAAATGGAAAGTAGTGAGTATTTTTAATATCTCCACCCCCCCAATCTCTGCTAATTATTAATCAAGGTTTACATTTTAAAAGCATTACAAGTTAAAATAGGCGTGTCATTATCAAGCCACACTCACTAAAAAGGTAAAATTAAAAACTCACAGCTTTCACTTTATCGAGCCAGGAGCGAAAAGCAATGTTTCCAAATCTCTGAGGCTGATCGACAGCAGGTATCTCATCCACCCACACCGACAGCTGATCCAATACCGAGAGAACTTTCTTCGTAGCCTGTGTGGGGATCACGTGAGAGTCACGTGACACGAGGAACTCACCTCAGATCCTGGAGGAGCACTGGATACAGTCTTGCCTCTAACTGATTCTGAGAGGATTTTTATCCAACCAATGAAATTGGAATAGGCCTAGTAAAAGGAGTAATAGAAGGAGGTAGCATTTAGGAGGAAGTTTACTTCTGAATTGAGCCATTTGTCCATGCTTGCTTCATTTTTTATAAGCCTCTCGGGACGTTTGAACACATGATCGGACGCCATTTTGATTCCGGATATTTAAAAGTCACAATCCGTATATCTCCGTACCAACAATTTTTAATAACCATTATCTAATAATTATTAATAGTTATAAATATTAATAATAATCAAAAAAATTAATATTTCTTGCTAAGGATGTTTCTCATTTTCTTCAATACATCTTCAGTGTCTTCTCTGCTCACCTGATGATGGAACACAGCCCTCACTACTTTACCATCTGTCCCTTGTGCTAGCAATCTCGCCTTTAAAAATGGAGGACTATCCGAACTTCCTTCCTCTTCCATGAACTCACAGAACCTCTCAGCTCTGAGGTCATCACGCTCGATAGAAAAGAGAACCATGTTAGAACGAACTCTTTCCACATCAACCGTGACCCCAAACTCCCCGAAACCAGCAACACCTTGAGCAAACAGCTTTGCATTCTCGTGATCCGTTTTCAAAAGAGGGAGGATCGTCTCCAACGCAACGAGCCCAGGAGCAGCAAGTACCCCAATCTGTCTCATCCCTCCCCCAAGGGCTTTGCGTATCCTGTGACATCGATCAATAGTTTCTTTCGATCCAACGAGGACACTACCCACTGGAGCTCCAAGTCCTTTAGATAAACAAACGCTAACAGTATCAGCATGTTTCACCAGCTCCTTTGCCTCTACATCTAGAGCAGTCGCAGCATTGAATAGTCTTGCTCCATCAACGTGTATCTTAAGAGAGTGCTTCCTAGCAATGGACGCTACCTTGTCCATGTATTCCGGGCTGATCGGGGCCCCGCCACAGAAATTTTGAGTATTCTCGATGACTATCGCTTTCGTGAGGCAGTAGTGGCCGTCGTGCCCCCCGGGGTGAATTTTAGAAACGAGTTCGTCTAGGTCGAGCGTCCCATCCGGATTGTTCCTCACTTGTCGAGGGAAGATCCCACCTAAACTAGCAATGGCTCCTTGTTCCCATATTGATATATGAGAGCGATCGCCTAATATAACTTCCTCTCCTCTACCGTTAGCATGACACATCAGAGCTGCCAGATTAGACATTGTCCCCGTAGGCAAGAACAGGCCGGCCTCTTTGCCTAAAAGACTAGCCATTTTTCCTTGCAAAGCAATAGCTGTTGGGTCTTCACCATAAACGTCATCACCGACTGCTGCTCCAGCCATTGCTGCTCTCATGGGCTCGGTGGGAGTCGTAACAGTGTCACTTCTCATGTCTACCACTCTAGTGGACGCCATATTAGTCTTGTAGAGCTTGCAAAGAGGTCTTAGAAAGAGAGAGGAGTCAAAAGCAGCAGCAACACGTTTTAGAACAGTATTAGCTGACATTGGAGGGGTTAAAAATACAATCTTAATTTTAGCCACGCCCCTATTTAATTTTTATTTTAATGGTGGATTTATTATGTTTAAAAGACTAAAGGAGAAAATAGAGGAAGAGGGTAATGCAGATTTCTCTCCTCTCAAGGCCCCGCCAGGTAGTGTGATACGGTCACAGCAGGAGGGGCCTGAGCCGGTAAAGATTAGTGAGGAGTCTTCTAAGAGTCCTGAGAGAGAGACTGACCCTGCCCAGTTGAATGAGACTGGTACTGTTGAAAAGAGTCTTGTTGAATCTGATAATAAAACTGAAGAGTCTGATGGCAAAGTAGAGGAAGTTGGAACAAAGCCTTCTTCAAAGAAAAACGACGTGAGAAATAAAATTAATTAGTCTGAAAAATTAATATAAAAATATATATACATGTTTATTAATAAAATTATATTGGTACAATTAAAATTGGAGTAGTTTTACAGCCATCATTTGATTCTTTATTTACTCTGAAAATATTGCTTTTAAAAACTTTGTAAGCTCTTCATTTATTAAGAACTTTTCTATCTTTTTTATTTCCTTTTAAACTATTTATTTAATTTGATTATTTTAAAATTAGTTGTATTAAATATGTCTTTATTTACAGAGAGCTCAGTCCATTTTGAGTCAGTTAACAAGTGAACTGGTCTCTCTAAGGAAACAATACAACCAGCTGTTGAGTGCAAAGGAAAAGAACGAGAAAGAGCTAAATGATAAAATAGAATCACTGGAGAAATCCCTGTCAGAGGTAAAGGAGTGTCTTCCTATTGTACTTTAACTTCATGTACTAGTTTGGATCTTTAAACGCTAAATTAAAATAATGCATAGAGTATTATTATTATTATTATAAGATAGTGAAGTTACTATTTTTGTTTTTGTCGTTTTATTTTGTAGAAGATGATTGAATGCCGTAAGATGGAGAAAAAGAATAAAGAATTGACATGGAGTGCTGACAGCTTGACGTCAAGGTAAAACTTAATTTTAATGAATAGAGGGGAAATATTTTAAATGCTGATGCTATTTTCTAGACTTCAGATTTATGGAGATTATGAGAAAGAAGACGTAATACAAAAACTACAAGAACAAGTAAGTAACTTAATTATTAATATATAATGTAAATTATTAATATATTAATTAATTAATTAATTAATATATTAATTATTAATTAATATAATTATGTATATATAATTATATATTAATAACAAGTAAATTAATTATTAATATATAATGTAAAGGTAAATGATCTTGAGTCAAGATTGCGTCAAAGAGATTTCGATATCGAGATCTACGAAACTCGGGTAGGTGGGCGAGGCATTAGAGTAACCATGGATACGATTGTCTCTCATATAGATGGCGGCTCAATCCAAGCAAAGACATGAAGATCAAATGTCATTCAAGAAGAAAACAGTGAGACAAGAAATTGTAGTGCTCTGTTTGAAATAAAATTTATATTAAAATTTAATGTACATATATTCTCTATTAATTTAGAATTTTTTATTTATTTTGTTTGCATTTTAAATTTATGTGGTGTCAGGATTTTAACGACCTTTTACTAAATTAAATGTACATGTACATGTAGTACAAAAAATTGTACCTTTATAATTAGATTACCCTCACTCTTTTTTTCTCTAGCAAATATTACAAGATTCAGTCTCGTCACTACAGTCATCGCTAGGTGAGAAAGACTCTCGACTCTCTCACCTCAACACCGAGGTACTCAAGATTAGAAGCTCACTGGCTGACGTTGAGAAACGGAGACAGCAACTGGATGAACTGATTGAAGAGCAAAAGAATAATTTAACGGATAAAGACCAACAGGTGGAAAAAGAGGCGGAAGGAGTGTACATTTACATGTAGTTTTATTTAAATCAAAAAAGAAGAGAGAGAGGAGGAGGGAGAATTGAGAGAGAGGAGATAGAGAAATAGAGGTTTATACATGTAATACAACATAAATTATTGTACATGTAATTATTTCAATATATATGTTACAGCTGGAAGATCAAGAGAGCTCTCATTCAGCGACTATAGATAAACTAAGGCTGGATCATAAGAAAGAAATTGATGAGCTTCGGGAGCAAATGAAGCAACTTAAGAAAGAACTAAAAGGTATTCTATAAATAATAACAAACATTGTACGAATTTTAAAAGTTGCTCCAAATTTGGACGAAAGTCCCTGTACTATAGCTATGGTCTTTGGCTGAATTTCACCAAAAATGAAAAGGAGAGAATTCTCAATTTTTATAATTTAACATGTACAATGTATAATGCACTATCATTATTTATGCTATTTTAGAGAAAGAGGAGAAACTGGATAGACTAGTCACAGAATTGCCCGACCAGCCGGTAGTAAACACGGTCCTGGATGGCTACTCAAAGTCTCGGATGGCCTCTTCATTTACAAATTCCCTCCGGAGCACCCCAGGGGGCGTCTACAGGAAAGAGGTGGAGCCTCTTCCTCGTCCAGTCCCACGGGATCCATCGGACCCGGCTTTGTTACCAGTAGAGAATAGACTGGACGATGATGATGACGATTATGATGAGAGGTTTAACCCTCAGTATGAGGTCGGCCATTTTGTTTTATTTTATTAATTAATAATTAACAGTGTGAGATCGATATTATTTTTATTATAATAATTGAGTCAAATGTTGATTAAAGGGATTTAGTAAAGTATTTCTAATTATTTTTGATTACATGTAGGTTCAGTTGCTAGAGCTGAAGAGATACAGCGAAACTTTAGAGGAAGAAATAGAAGAAAAAAGCAAAGTATATCTTATTATTTATTATTATTATTATTGTTTATTTATTTATTTATTACTTTTATTATAATTTTAGGCTATAAAAGTACAGCAACAAAAGATTAATGACTTGAGAAAAGCTTTGATGAGCAAAGAAACAGTAAGTCAAATAAAAAGAATTTATGAAACTCTCTCTCTCTCTCTCTCTCTTTCCAGAAGCAGCCTGACCCTCCTCCTCCTCCTCCTGTTCCTCCTCTTTCTCTTCCTGTTACAACAGAGATCCCTCTCTCTCCATTAGATGCTAAAAAATTTGATGCCACAGACATCAACTTCCAGTATCCTTATAAACTATTAATAGTACACGTGTAGATATATAAAAAATATTAGGTTTTGGCAAGATTATTCAAATGCTCTCATAGCTAAAAAATTTCTACATAGCTGTAGTTAAGGGCATCAATGTGTATCAGAAAATGTAATAAAAATTGGGCGTGATTTTTTAGCCATTTTTTGGGGGAAAAAAGCATGCATTGGGCTATAGCCTTGGGTATTTTTCATAATTTGGCAAATTTCTTAATGGCCATAACTTTAATTAGCTCAAACTTGCTACATAGCATAAGGATATCAATATGTATCAAAAAATGTAATAAAAATTGGAGGTGATTTTTTGGCCTTTTTTTTTTAGAAAAAAGCATGGGCTATAGCCTTGGGTATTTTTCAGATTTTGGCTAATTTTTTAAATTGGTCGTAACTTGAAAAATTTAAGTCGGAATCAGCTCAAACTTTCTACATAGCATAAGGACATCAATATGTATCAAAAAATGTAATAAAAATTGGGGGTGATTTTTTAGCCATTTTTCAGAAAAAAGCATGGGCTATAGCCTTGGGTGTTTTTCAGATTTTGGCAAATTTCTTAAAATGGCCGTAACTTAAAAAATTTAAGTCAAAATCAGCTCAAACTTTCTACACAGCATAAGTACATCAATATGTATCAGAAAATGTAATAAAAATTGGAGGTGATTTTTTAGCCATTTTTCTGAAAAAAGCATGGGCTATAGCCTTGGGTACTTTTCAGATCTTGGCTAATTTTTTTAATTGGTCGTAACTTGAAAAATTTAAGTCGGAATCAGCTCAAACTTTCTACATAGCTTAAGGACATCAATATGTATTTTAAAATGTAATAAAAATTGGGGGTGATTTTTAAGCCATTTTTCAGAAAAAAGCATGGGCTATAGCCTTGGGTATTTTTCAGATTTTGGCTAATTTTTTAAATTGGTCGTAACTTGAAAAATTTAAGTCGGAATCAGCTCAAACTTTCTACATAGCTTAAGGACATTAATATGTATTTTTTAATGTAATAAAAATTGGGGGTGATTTTTTAGCCATTTTTTGGAAAAAACCATGACTATATATAGCCTTGTGTATTTTGTCCATTAAGCCAATAGCTTCACACATGCACATATCATGACATATGACATTCCTTTCCTTTACTGTTCAACTCAAGATACCTCAAAAATGTTGTCATAAGATTTATATGCACAAAAGAAGATGAGGTAACGTTAATTAATTAATTTTAATTAAAGGGGCTCACCCACTCATCAATTTTTTTCTCACCTCTTTTTTCCAGGCACTTCAATTAGTAAAGGCTATATCAACACTGCTAGAGCTTAATAGTGCAGAGGAGAAATATATTAGAGATTATTTGCAATATAAAGTAATGGAAGAGAGAGAAGAGATGACTCCTTATGATTTTTCTTCTATTTGTAGTTGTCATGGTTCGGTTCGATGCCTTTGCCTCCAAACATATCAGCTGTGAAATCAAAATGATACTCGATGAATTATTATTATTATTATTATTATTATTATTATTATTATTATTATTATTATTATTATTATTATTATTATTATTATTATTATTAATATTTTGTAAATTTTGAGACTTCAAATGAATGATGAATAGTAATAATGCTACAATGACAATTCTAATTCTGCTTTGATGTGATCTCAGCTTAATAGATGCATGAGATATGATCACACAAACTATTTTTGCATTAAAATTGACCAAAGCTACGCCCACGTAGACTCACACCTCGATCTCAACTGTCACCTTGTTTAAAGCTTGGACTAGTCTTACTGTTCTTTCTCTTTGCCCCTGCTGCTGCTTCTCAGTATCATGTACCAGGTGAGTAAGAGAGTACATTGGTAATTTTAATGTAGTCTTAGATTAAACTACTTGAATTCTCAGTAGCCAGTGTTTCTGTCTCTCACCTCTGCTTTACTAGCTATAACCCTGTAGATAGATTGGAAATGTTAATTTTACATTATGTGCATGTATGAGAAAAGCTATGTCATTCTAATTATTATTTGTTCTAGTCTTGCCTGATGAAATTATGACTACTGGTATAGTGTTTCAGCCCTACCATAGATCTATGTTCACATGCACATACGGTGTAGTTTAATAAAAAAATTTTGATGTTCAATTTTGCTAAAAAAAGAAATTTACAAAGCTTTATCCTTGGGTATTTCATGTTCTATTCACTAACACTGTATGATGAGGATTGTTGCAGTATTGCAATAATGTGATGAAAGACAGTGCTAACAAGTTCAAATGAAGTTACACTAGTTTACCTGTAGCTATATGAAATTTATTATTATTATTATTATTATTATTATTATTATTATAACTATAGACCTCTTTGGGTGAGAATGAATTACGTCAAAGAATGATATACGGCAAGGGGCGTGACTGAGCCTGGCTGACTCTGAAATAATTTTCGTGGACGGCAACTTTCTATGGAGTATGAATGGGCTAATGCAGAAAGCAAGCTGTAATAAAGAATATGCTTCATATTGCACCAAATCCCTTTTAGGAGATGCTTAGCAGCGACCATTCTTTCCTCCAACCAGCTTTTGTAGCTTGAAAAAGCTTCATGCCAAAGAAAAGAATCAGTTTTGCCTTTTCTTCATTCATCCTCCATTGAATCTTGCCGTCCAAAATGGCGGCCACTTATCACCGTAGGTGGATACCGTAATAAACAGTAATGATATTCATAGGCCACCGTCAATCTCACCTGAAGAGGTCTATAGGCAGCACTGACCAAATCATTGTTTTTTATATTAGTGTTGTCATTCCTCATACAACCTTCATTAACTTTTGAAAGTAATTAATAATCATGAATATCATAGTTAATATGAGGCCTTTCTTTTATAGTAGAAATAGCAGGCTCCATTGTGAGTACTCCTTCAACAGTTAATGAAGTCAAGGATCCTTATATTTATTGTGGCTATGAAAGCATAATTAGTGATGGCTGCAAGCTGCATGATGGTGTAACTAATGAAGGATTGGCCTTTAATTCTGATCACTTTGTAGAATGGAAAAGATCTTTTCGGATTGAATTTCTCTCAGGGTTTGGACGGCCTGTACCTCTGAATCACTTCTTGACTCACATTGATATATACTACTACAGTAATCCATCCTTAGGATATGGATTTTATGGAGTGTCTAGTCTAAAAGTTTTTACTTCCTATCCTTTGTTGATCCTACTTACTTGACCTTCATTAATAATTATAAAGTATCCCAGTCTGATAA